ACCAATTTACAATATGCTCCATATTTTCGATGGAACAGCATGTAAAATGTGTTCAAAATATGTTCTGCATACTCAAAATCATGCAGAAGATATCCAAGTCATGGAGAAGGCATTTTGAATATCTTTCAAATATTGAAGCAGCAACTATTCAGAAGGCATTGTAAATTGGTTCTCAATGTTTTTCACATGTTTGGCCATTACAAAATTGGTTATCCTCCTTGGGTATCCGTCCAATGTGTGCGATTTATTTGGCAGCACGCTACTCTTCCTGTGCTTTTGGTCTTGTGTCCTTGAGTAAGTCCCTGCACTAGGAGATTCTGGCTGACTCCGGTGTTTTCAGTGATGCCGCCTAAAATTCAGGCTGCCCCAACAGCTCCTACGAATTCCTCCCCACTGGCAGTGGACGTTGATATGTCCACTTTTTGGTTCCTATGTGTGATAACCGCGTATGCACTTGTCGCGAACCTTATCTATTGTTTGTGTAATACATTGCCGACCTCAATGGTCTATTGTCCTTGCTGCCAACCAACCCCCTTCCACCTGCTCGGACTGTGATCAACAGCCACGCACAGCGCTTTTCCACCTCAGAACCTTGGTACAATCTCCTCGGCGGTGGTGCAAGGGCGTTGAAATTTAAAGACATGGATATCGTCCAAATCATGACGAACAACAATGGTTTGGAGGACGTCACTAGTGATAGTCTAGATTTCAAATTCCAATGCCTCCAAACAGAAGTCGCTCAGTTCCTGGCCAAAAAAATCTTTTGTGGCAGTAGCAGTTCCTTTCCGGACGCTAGTACCTCGTCTGACTCGGCCAGAGATGATGTCAGTAGCAGGGCTACACGGTGTGTGGGTGCCATCCAGAATGTCATTACAGGGTGGTAAGGACCTGTTATTGAAACACGATTGCATTGTAAATGATTGCGCGGATATGTTATGCATAATGAATGTACAACTTCACTGGACAAGCAAGAAAGTGACGATGACAAAAATCGGTGGAGAAGACAGTGGCACTTACTCGACTCCTCTCGAGCCATTGCCTGCGCATATCGCAACTGAGGCCACCAAATTAAAAAGCAAAGCTAATAATTTCTGATTTCAGCCTTTGGTGGATAACACCATGCTGACTTGCAATGTCATTAATTGTGTGAATAATGTGGATAGGGATAGGCCATAATTTGTCATCAGGGTTAAAGCCCAAATTGGGACTTGTACCACCATGCAGAGCAGTGGCCTAAAACCACTAGTACATTGCCTTTTGTGATTCGGCCAGTGAGGCTGGCATTTACTGTGTCGTTAGTCGATAGCTTGCAAAGGTAATTGTGGGACGTGCACAATAAGTCATTATATTCAGTGACCATACTCCGCTGCGGTTTCCGCATGTACTGCAGACCAAAGTGGGGACTTTTTTGTCCTTTTTAGGAAAGACACATCTGGTCACAAAGCACGTGGTGCGTGACACTGCCAAAATTCCAAAGCTTTTCAAGTCGAACCACTTGGCCCTTGGGGGAGCCAACCTTTCTGACACCATTTCGAGCTAGAACCTAGTGGGCAAAATAAGATCTGCCAGTGGGAGACCGGGAGCTTCACATTCTTCAACCATCCAACATTGCAAACCTCAACCTGAATGATGGTCTTCTCACTCTTCAAACCCAACCCTCAAGGACCGCAATGACATTCCTAACCTTGAAGGTGTTTTGCTTTCGCCTCTTGACTTCAAGCGCCTCTCTGCGAAGCTGTCCAGAATATGAATCAAGTTTTTCTGAACAATTTTGCGCAGGTCGGGTTGCAATCGTCACAGGTGGCAACACCCGGCTTGGATACACCACCTTCCTCAAGCTTGTGTGCCATGGCACCAAGGTCTAGTACGTTGTGTGGAATGTCATTTACTGTTGGAATATCAAGCTGAATTCTCACGGTTCCCGCTGGGTGCGTAATTCACCCGACATGCTTACCGAGCCCGAGGTTCAACTTACCAAGCATTAGTGAGACATTCAGAATATTCTAGATGTATTGTAGAGTATAAAACCTTGTAATATGTTCCATAGTAATACAGTTTGTTCTTCTACTGTTCATTAGAAGTGAACATTCTCACAGGTTATTGGCCCCCGACACTTGAACCACTGCTTACCTCGTTACCTCACTCTCATTTGTGGCCTTCTTGGGTGCCGAATCCCAACACGTCATTTTTCTGTTGCCACCGTAACTGCCAAAGCACGTAGCTGCTGAACCGAATGCACTCATCAAAGAGTTGCGTATTGCCGAACTCGCCAAACTGATACGAAGTCCACAACGAGTGGCCTGAACCTGATCTGATCCCCAAACTGAATAGCACCTATCCGAAAGCGCCCGCATGACCAAACCGAAACCGATCGCACCTATCCGAAAGCGCATCTACCGTACCCCAAAAGCGACCCCCCCGAGCGTGCCTACTCGAAAGCACACGCCGTACTGTCGAACTGAACTCCGAACCCCCATTATTGAGCCCGTACCCCGTATCCCCCAATCACGATGTCTGAAGTCAAAGGTGTTATGAAACTCACCAATGACAACTACGAAATTTGGTGCATTCTCATGGAGGTTGTGTTTACATGCCGAAATGTTCGGGATGTTGCGCTTGGGATCACCCCACGTCCGCTGACAGGTCCCAACTCGAAAGGAGTTAAAGATTGGGATCGCCAAAGTGCCGAAGCCCGTGCCGAGATGATTTTGGCTGTTGAAGTCGATCAGCTTGCGCATATGTCCGCACTGACTGCCTATGAAGTTTGGCAGGAGCTCGAACATGTCCACCATTCACGTGGATTTGCCACGAAAATGGCCCTTCATCGGAAATTTATGTCGATGAACATGGTTGATGGCCAAAAGATGGCATCATGGATTGGAGAAGTGCGAAATGTTGCCTTCAGGTTGAAGCAGACTGGAATCACTGTTGACGATGAAGATGTTATCCCGGTCTTAACAATGGGTCTTCCGAACACCTATGACACATTTGTTGTTGCCCTCGACTCCACCGACACCTCCGCGCTGACCCTCGACTACGTGATTGGCAGATTGCTCAATGAAGAATCACGTAAATCCCCTACCTCGACACGCGAAGCTGTCTTCCGAGCTGATGCGAACCATTCCCGCTCCCGCTGCCCCATCTCGGAAATCACTTGTTTTAATTGCCAGAAGAAGGGGCACTATCAGTCAGATTGTCCTGACAAGAAATCATCCGCTGCCATTGCTGATGATGGATATGATGCTGCATGGTAGAGATGTCAGCTTGAGGGGGAGTGTTGGAATATCAAGCTGAATTCTCACGGTTCCCACCGGGCACGTAATTCACCCGACATGCTTACTGAGCCCAAGGTTCAACTTACCAAGCATTAGTGAGACATTCAGAATATTCTAGATGTATTGTAGAGTATAAAACCTTGTAATATGTTCCATAGTAATACAGTTTGTTCTTCTACTGTTCATTAGAAGTGAACATTCTCACATTTACCTGGATTTGAACTTGATATTTTGTTCTTAGTATGGCCTCCTGCAACTCTGATACCGCCAATGCTGCCATTGCATCCCTTAAAGCTGAAGTACCTTCCACCCAAATAGAATTCTTCACATTCGACCTCACGAGTCTGAGGGTGGCCAAGGCTGCAGCAAAAGTGTTTTTGGAGAGAGAAGAGCACCTAGATATGTTGATTTTGAATGCAGGAGTGGTGGGTGTTATCTCTCTTCCATTGCCATTGGGCTTATTGGAGGGAGTGCAGATGGGGAAGCTGTACGAGCTAACAGCTGACAGGATCAAGCTGCAGGTGTGCAATGGAACTGGTTAGTGCCTTCGAGTTTCACTTGCATACCCTCATCCCCTATATCTCTCTTAGGACACTTCACCTTCACTGTCGACCTCCTTCCAATTCTCCAGTGTACTGATGCCTTGCCAGACACTCATGTCCGCGTCATCAGCCTCTCAAGCAAGGGGCACAGCCTCGCACAGAACCCCAACTTCTCTGATTTGAAAGCACTGAATCAGAAGTGCATTACCATGTTGAATCAGTACGTGAACTCGAAGCTGACTGGACGTGGTTTAATTTTTGTTCTTGTGGTGGCAAGCTGACAACTTGTTCAGAACATCCTCTTCACGAACGAGCTCCAAGGCCACCTCACGGGAACAGGAATCTACTGCCTCTCCGTGCACCCCTGACTCGTAGTAACCAACATCTACTGCGGTGCGTCTTTCTGCTGTGCTACAAAGAGACTTGAGCCTGACGCTCCCACTGTTGCTCTAGGCACACTTGCCTCTTACCTGTGGCTTGCACCCTTCACCTTCTTCAAGAAATACACACTCTTGACCTCCAAACGGGGTGTGTGCATACAGCTGCACACCGCGACGGCCCTCGAGGTTGAGGAGAAGGATTTGAAGTATGCCTCGTTCCAGTCTGACCCCTCGGATCCTAATCCCCGGGTCTCATAATATTCTGACCTCATGTGCAGGGCTGCGTACCTCGTCCCTACGCCCAGGTCAGTACACCAAGTTCATTCGCACAGGACAAGGACGGCAAACTCGCTGCACAGTTTTGGGCAGTTTGTGAAAAGCTGGTGGCTGACGCAGACTCTAAAGCAGCAGAGAATACATCATAATTATTCTCTGCTTGTCACTAGTACCGGATACGTTGCTATAGATAAACTTGGGGAAAAAAAGCCACATGGACGAACAGGATGCCAAAATATTTGACCTTGCTACCACAATCCGGCCCTTCCCCAAGTGCCTGGAAGACAGTCTTCCCAGCATTCTCACAGCAAACCCTCTTGAGCCGCAACCAAATTGCATGCCTGACTGTTTGCTCATACATTATTCATCCTGACCCTTGTCAAACCGGACGACAGTACTCTTAGGTTTGTGCTGGTCAGTTGCTGAGATTGAGAACCTGAGTTCCAATCCAAAATGAACATTGAATTCCTTGAAACAGATGATATGTCATTTTCTCTCAGCTACAGTCATTGAGATTGAACTGCCAGTCCCTCTTAGCTCAGTTGGTAGAGCGCGTCACTAGTATAACAAAGTTAGAATAATTTGCAAAATCTATGACGAGGTCAGTCGTTCAAATCGGCTAGCGGGAATTGTTTTATTTTTCCGTCGTTTCGCCTGATCTAGGCTTCGTTCACGCCAACTAGAAGCTCAACGGTTCAATGCCATGTCCCTCTTAGCTCAGTTGGTAGAGCGCGTCACTAGTACTTCAGGTTGAGAATTTCATGACGAGGTCAGTCGTTCAAATCGGCTAGCGGGAATTTGTTTTTCATCCTCGATCAACAACATGCCGTTGCTTCCAAATCCCTGATGACCATATCCTTCTCGTTCTACTATACTACCAACTACCACATGAACTTTTGTGCCATGCTTTTCTGGATCCTGCACAATCTTTCTCCCTTTCCGTCATGGCTTTTTTTTCAATCAAACATCTGACTTAACCGGAAAATCGATATCAACAGTCGTCGGAACTTGAAAGGAGGGATTGCCTGCGCGTCATACTGTCCTTCATTGACAAGCACTGCGGAGCGTTACCATCCAGGCTTCGCGCCTGACATGAAAGGGTGACAGCGGGGCATCCTCGTCCCACTGCAAATAGCCAAAAGCGCGCAAGTACCGCCTCATTGAAGTTTGGAATTGCAGTGGTGAACTCGACGTCGACAGCTTCATTTCGATCTCGGTCAGAATTCCGAGTGGGATCTGGCTGTTGGTCCAGAGCATCGTGCTAGTTGTCCTGTGTACTGCATCGTCGTGGAATGGACGATTGCTACTGGTTGGCAGCGGATCGAGAGCCGTCGACAATTATCCTCCATTCTTTTCCTTCTCGCTAATAATGATCATCGGACTGGACTTGACACTGGCCTTGCACTACTGAAATTTGAACCTGACAGGTGTCAATGTGTGTTCTGTTTCTTGCTTATTGATCTCAGGGAACGATTCCGTGCTGATTCCAACAATGAAGATCAAATTGTCTTTCTCTTCGAACTATCCCGAACAAGGCTTCAACAAGCCCGTAAACCCTGAACAAAACTGATAACTTGTTCTCATCGTTTCTCAGATGGTTCTATGCATGTCTCAAAACCGTAACATGTTGCTCCAGAGATCTGTGAGGTGGACGGACCTTGCGTTCAAGTTCAAGTTCAAATTCCAAGGCTTCGTCGGTCTTTTTGGCACCGTTGTATTTGACAGGTAAATGTCTGGCAATATGTCTGCTCAGGTCCCAAGCCATCTCTTCAATCTCATCCAAATTCAACCACGGCCCCTATCCTTCAAAATCTGCGCCACTTGGTCATGATCGCCGTTCTATTTCACATCGATCGCGCCTCTTCTTTCCTTCCTTTTGTTGTGGTTCATTGGTTGGTGTCGTGTGCCCACTATTGGAGGCCGGACGGGACTTACAGAAGTGTCGGCGAGTTCCAAATCCCTCCGAGCTCAATTAAATGGCTGAGTCATTTTGTGCTCCACGTCGCCTCTGGTGCTTGGCAAAATTAGGGTGTCAGAAGGTTGTCCCGCCAAGCCGCCAAACAGGTAAGTTGTGAAGGCACAACTTGGCGGAGCAGATAGGCTTTCGTGGGATGATAAGTTATTCAATCTCCAATTAACAGGTTCTCGCTATTTAGAAGTCGCCAAGTTGCCGCCAAGTTCGAATGGAACCCCGAAACGAAAAACTTCAACCGCATGTTGAATTTGTCGAAGCTCGCGGTCTGCTCAAAATTCAATTCTAAAACCTCCGCCACAGGCGACGACGCGTACCTTGCGCGTGCCTACGGCCTGCGGTGGCTTGGCGGTGACTCACTGCAGTGCAATTACTCTATGATTTTCATCTAAACATTCATATCAGCACTGCGCTGATCGGCTGGGTACGGCATACTCAGAGCGGCAAGCGCCACTGCCGCAAAACATTGACCTACGTTGTCGGTGCACCGCGTCGTCTCGACGATTTTTTAATTCAAATTGTCCGGCATTCCTATCTAAGCGATGTCGGGACCTTGGCCGGTGTTCATCGTGCCTATCGATATTGCCGGAGTGGATGGAACGCCTAATAGTGGAAGTCAAAGTTCGCTTAGCGAACGATTCTGGCGTCGATTTAAGAGTCGATTCTGGTATCGATTCTTGACACCAGAATTGACGATTCTCATGAATCCACGAGAATCGATTCTTGATGAATTGTCCACAACCTCGATTCTCCGGCGTTTCTTGGTGGAGAATCGACGGCAATTGATGTCTGGATCGAAAAATCGACCCATGAATCGAGGTCTGAATCGTCGCCGTAAGCGAACCTTGACTTCCCCTAATGTACGTACTTCGCCCACCTTCCCAGAAGATATTTTTGCCTAACCTCAGGCTTCCAGTCAAGTGGGACCCCGAAAATTGAGGAGGATTGTAATTTTCGAACGGCACAGGATGCACGTTCGCGACCGTGTCTAATATGCGGCTCGATTTCATACGTGTACGTATACATTACGACGTATTTTCGTCGAGGTTCAAATTTAAGTGCGTATTATCTATCTCCTTGGCTCAACCTCTGTTATCGATGTTACTATTAACGTTAACGTTTTCAGTGTTTCCACTGAACCATCGCACTTGGTTCAACCTCGTGTTATCGATATTCTCAGACTATCTCCTTAGTCGAACCTTCGTAGTCAATGTTGTTTTACGGTCTAGAATCACCCCGACAAGACGCGAAGAACGTTCGCTCAGGTTCGCCTTCGCCTCGAGGCCCAACGCTGGAGCTTGAAATTCAATTTCTCACGCGGCTTTAAAATTTGTGGGAAGAAATAATTGGACTCTGGAATCTGAAATAACCCTTTTCGGCATCCAAGTTTACTTGGCGGCGCTTCGTCGGTCGGTCCCGAGCGATCCCGAGCCTGAGAAGGTTGATCATTGACATAGAAGAGGTTGGTTGAAAAATTAAACAACAAAATCGTTACCGAGCAAGTACTCCAAAAGCCAAGGCACCGATCGCGACCAACGTTCATCATCATTTACTTTAACTGGTTTGTGGGTCCCGCGGGGAGTTCCGGACGTTTGGAAGTATAACTCGACTTCAAACCGCTAAGCCCAGCGCGCTTGCCTCGGTATCACCATATGTCGAGCAGCAAGCCCCAGGTCACCCTTGTCAAATCAAGCCAATATCTATCGACTGTTGATCTGACTATGGTAGTGAAGTCGAGCACGCAATAATCAACTTACTCGGAGACAGCCGACGGATTCTGTTTTTTTGGGTTGAACTTCGGAAGAACCCAAAAGAAGACACGTATGCTTAGGTGGTGCGCAGACGCGTACGGTGATATCGGTTGTGGCCCCGGCGAACTCGTAACTTATCATACTCTTCTCGAATTCAACTTCGGAGATCTACTTGAGTAAGGTGTAACGTTAACGCTAGGAAAGGTATATTTTTATTATCATTATCATGATAGCAAGGGAACGTTCATCTGTTTTGCATCTGTTGTCGGTTTGTTGCCAGGGACGATGACACGTATATACGTACTGCATATGCGTCCGCCAGTGGGATGAAGCACGTTCAACATACCAGAGAATACACGCGGAAATGAACATGGGTTCGGAATAGCAGTTACGAGAACGAGAACAAGGACGCGCGAAACTCCGAGTCGACCCGACCCTGTGGGTGAGAGCAACGAGCGTTATCTTTTCGACAGAAGAAGCACGCCATAGCTGGGGCGTCAGGGCGCTTTGATTTCCGTGGTTCAGAAGCTTCCTTGAAGTCGGGATTAGCTTCCGCTGTCATTCTCCTCTCTTCTCCTTGTAGATCTCCGCGTTTGCTTCCGTGATTTTGAAGGAAGAATGACATATGTTGGCCCCGGCGTATGGCGCACGTTTGCGACTTTCCGTGCTGTCTGTTTTCTTTTTGGGACTTGGCCTTGTCAGAAATCGAATTTAGCCTGGGGTATTGCCTGTGCGAAAGGTACGAATCGGAGGTTGAGCGACGTGCGAGCGAGCTGTAAGTGCACGAAGCCGAGGAGGTGAACATATATATAAGTTGGATAAGAATTTCCGGCGATTAGCATGATTCAATTCTTACAGCACCGCAATCGCTCCCGAAAATAAACTTCTGTGGGGCATCCCGGGCCAGGCGGTCCTGCAACTCCGGCCGCGGCGTCCGTTATCTGCGTTATCCGCTGTACAGACTCGTTGGCCCCCGGCGTACTGCAAGCGAGGGGCAGGCGCGGTTGCGCGGTTTAGTGGAGTATCATAATAGACGTGCAGGCTACAGATGTGCTCCGATTTGCGGAGACAGCAACGCACGTTCGAGTACGACCAGCCAGTGGGGAAAAGAAACGCGCGCGGAAAGAATCGGGGGAGTGCGGGGGGGGTTTTGGGAAGGATGAGGAATTGGTTGGATGCATATGGGATCGATAGTAGGTGAGGTGGCATATATAGAAGATGCAGAATGTACACAACAAGGGTCTGTCAGGGAGGAGGATTTTTTCAAAGTGCTTTTTCTTGGCTTTTCAGAAAGAAAAAAAAGCTTGAGCTTGAAAGGTACGTGCCACGGAGTGATGCGACTCCAACTTTGCCGGCGCCGGGATATCAAGAGCCGGCGTTCAGCGCAGGTAGATTCACTCCGCGGAGGCACCACCGGCGCCCTGTGTGCGGTCTCTGTAGTCGAGATAGCCCCGGCGTCGTGAAATCTGTTCAACCACCGCCAATCGGGTATTGGTATTACATGCTATCGGCCAGGGTGGGGGGTTGGGAAAGGAAACAGGGGAGTGGGAGGGGATTGGAATTAATAATGGAAGAGACCCAGGGCGAGTTTCTTTCTTTCGTTCTTTTCCTTTCGTTGAAACTCTGTTTGAAACAAGATGATGCGATTCCGAGCCGGCGCCGGGATACCAAGGGCCGGCGTTCAGCGCAGGAGTCCAACAGATTCAATTAATTGCACTCCGCGGAAGCATCACACATACATACGGTCTCAATAGCAGTTAGCCCCGGCGTCGTCAGTGGGCACTGGTGAAACTTGTTCACCGTCGAACAGTGATCGCCAATCGGGTACTCATATTGCGTGCTAGGGAGTCCGGAGTCAAGTTTTCTCCGCGGTGGGAGCGATAAACGAGTCCGCCAGTGAGGCTTTAAGAGGAAAGGTTGAAACCCACCTTTTATTTTATTTTATTTTATTTTCAAGAAAGGTCCAGTTTTTTCAAGGCGACTTGAGAGATACTTCAAGATACTTCTACGCCGCGTCCGAGGGTGCCCAGATAGAGTTTAAGCTGGGGTATTCCTGCCGCAGGGGGTACGTTGG